GGCTTCGGGCTGCCTTGTAAGGTAAGGTGCTGTTTTCTGCTTTTTAAAAACTGTTCTGAGTGTTTTTGCAGTGTGGTTTTAAACTGAAGGGGGATGTTTCTGTGCTGTGATGGGTCTTGGGGGTTTGTTTGCTGGTATTCCCCCCATTCCCAATGGGTCTTGGGGATTTTGTTGCTTTTTGGAGTGTTTTTTTCCATTTCCAATGGGTCTTGGGGTTTGGTTTTGTTGTTTTTTGGTTCTCCCCCCATTTCTGTTGGGTCTTGGGGGGTTTGTTTGTTTCTTGGCTCCCCCCCATTTCCAATGGGTCTTGGGGGTTGGTTGCTTTTGGGGGGGGTTCCCATTTCCAATGGGTCCTGCATGCTTCCCTTGCTTTTTCCTTTGTTGTGTTTGCATTTCCGACCTGCCCCCTTTGTTCTCTGTGCATTTCCGATCTGTTCCATTTGTTTTCTGTGCATTTCCAATGGGTCTTGCACGCTTGATTGCTTTTCTCCCACCCCTTCGGCCAGAAGGGATTGATCACATTTCCAAGGATTCTTGCAGTATTTTTGGGGTGTGTGTGTGAGATTTTTTTTCTTCGGCTGGTACGGATTAATTGCATTTCAGTGCATTCCTATGGGAAATTGTGTTTTGACTTACGACCATTTCGAGTTACGTCCATCTTCTGGAACAGATTATGATTGTAAGTGGAGGCACCACTGTAATTCCAAACTATCTGATTTCTGTTGCTGGATATGAGCCAGTACAAAACATTATTATAGTGATTCTGTTTACTGAAATGTTTCTCCTGTAGGCTGAGATTGATGGCTCCGCCACAAAGTGTGAATCTCTCACTTTCTCATGAGAATAACTCTCCCACCCAAAAAACTGGAACAGAAATATTTTTATATCCTATTGAAAATATTTTCCCACAAAGATGCTCCCATATGATGTCCACCTCAGTTAAGATGCTCTTGAAATATTCTTTTTTTCTTTTGCACTCTCCCCCTGAAAACCCTCTCAGTTTTCTCGTTTACATTTCATCAGATTTCCTTCAATACTAAGCCTCTATTCCTTTGTCCCCAAATTATGCAAGCGGGTCAATGAAGGATTAAAGCACATAAAGTTTTTGGTGTGTCAACACTGTCCTATTAGCTGCTGTGCTCTTCCATACCACAGAAAAGGTGTTGTAACATTTTCAGTCTCCACTTACATATTGTTATTTTAATGATGTGTTATAAATAAGGTTGCTCCTTGCGTGATAAAAAGAATGAGTTGAGAGACAGGTGAGTGCTTGTTGCATGGCAAGTAAGCCAGTTATAGCAGTTGGTGGTGGTGTGGAAGAAAATGCATCCATAAAATCTTATGGGGCCTTCTCGGCGGTTGCTCATCAGCTCTGGAATAAGCTCCCACCCAAAATCCGCCTGGCCCCTTCACTGGGAATTTTCAAGTAATTGTTAAAAACATGATTTCCACAGTTTTCAACAGGACTTCCCGGACCTTACAACACCTTAATGTAGTGATTGGTCTTAACATTTACATTATTAGTCCTGCTATTCTGCTTTTATATTATTTTAATTATTATTTCTTAAAATGTTGTTTGTGCTTATTTTGGTTGGTGTGGTAGCGCTGTGGGTTAAACCACTGAACCCTCTGTGCTACAAGGTCAGGAGACCTGCAGTCATAAAATCGAATCCACACGACGGAGTGAGCCGTCACTTGTCCTGGCCCCTGCCAACCTAGCAGTTCAAAAGCATGCAAAAATGCAAGTAGATAAATAGGTACCACCTCAGTGGGAAGGTAAACGGTGTTCCGTGTCTAGTCATGCTAGCCACGTGACCACGGAGGATTGTCTGCGGACAAACGCTAGCTCTACGGCTTGGAAACGGAGATGAGCACCGCTGCCTAGAGTTGGACAAGACTGGACAAATTGTCAATGGGAACCTTTACCTTTATTTTGATTTTATAACTATTATATTTATTGTTTTGATTTGTTCATGTTTAATATGTAAAAAGCCCAGAGTGGCTTGGCAGCCAGATGGGTGTTATAGAAGTCAAATAAATAAATAACAAAATAAATAGAATTAAAGTATCTGCCCAACCTCTGTTCCATCAATATTGTTTAATTTTTGTGGGATGTGTAGCTGGAAAGAAACTGTTAGTGTATTTGTGAACTCCGTTTGAGGTGAAAGAAAAAGTAGAGATAGGCTTAGGCATATATAAAAAAAGAATGCCATGAATAAAGTGGATGAGTACAATAGAGCACTATGTTGGTTCATTGTTGGGGGAGATTTCCAAACGGTGTCAGGGGAAAAGATGGTGAATTTGATTAGTATCAGAAGAATATGGTAAATTACTGTATTTTTCGCACCATAAGACGCACTTTTTTCCCACAAAACAGGGGGGTGGAAAGTCTGTGCGTCTTATGGAGTGAAGAAAACAGATTATATTTTCCTGTTTTCTTCTCCTAAAAATTGGTGTGTCTTATGGAAAGGTGCGTCTTATGGAGCGAAAAATACGGTAGGATGTAGTAATGTTAGTGAAATAAAACTTGGAGTTTTCAGGGCGTGGTCAGAGTGCACAAGATATTTCCAAGGTAAGTTCATAAAAATAATGTGAAAATTGTCCTGATGTATTCCTAATGAAAGAAACAAGAAAAAGGAAAGTGATAAAAAAATGGAGCTGACTTCTAAAGATTTTTCCTTGATGCAAAAATGTAGCAGAGCTTACTGCTTCAAGATGAATCATAGAAATGTTTCAACAGCAGTGTTGCGATGATAAAAGCTAAATTTGTAACTACAAATGTGTTGTATTGTGTAACTTATGGTGCATGTAATTATGTCATAAGGAGAAAGACTCACTCAGCTTTTCATACAGTGACATAGACAGCAGGAGCCCAGCTCCAGACATTTTTGTTTCCTGAGGTAGAATAGAAAACTATCTTGTCCTCTGTTGTCCAACTATCTTGTCCTCTGTCGTTCCCCCTTTCCTCTTGCCTTCACGCTTTCCCAACATCAGGGTCTTTTCCGGGGGAGTCTTCTCTTCTCATGAGATGGCCATAGTATTGGAGCCTCAGCTTCAGGATCTGAAGAATAAGGTTTGAACGCCCACTCATCCATTGAAACTCATTGGGGGAGTGGAACTGGTAAACTACTCAAGTATCTAACTTACCTTGAAAGCCCTATTAAACCCCTTGAGTCGGTTCCAACTTGATAGAACAGAACATGCACATATTAAAGGGAAAACCACTGTGCTCAGTAGATTTTCAGTCTCTAAATGCATACGTTTGGTAAAAAAATTAATACTCTCATTTCTTTTTATAGAAATTTTACTGATCAGTTTTAGTTGTGGTTTAATCATTTTTATGTTTCAGTTTTATATCTGTTTTATCTGAATGTTGTTATTAGCCATTTTGAATGCCATAGTTTACAAAAAGATTGAGTATAATAAATAATTAGATGACATTAGAGCTATTTGAGGGCTTTTAACATGGCCTTTCAATTTATACATTCATTGAACAACTACAGTTACGTTTTGAAATAAAGAATTCTGCTCCTATTTGACATCAATAGTAAGTTGTGACCCTTTCCCCAAATTGCTTATTAAGCTTTTGTCTTGCTTCTTATGTGATGCTTCCATCTTCTTTAGCAGTATTATAAAATCTCTCTGTACACCAGGATGTATAGTATCAACTTAGGATAACTGACAAAGAATAAACTGCAACATTGGTAGCAGTTCAAATGGAAAAAGTTCACTGCAATATAGGCCAACAGAACAGCCATAATTGACGGAGAGCTAAAGGGCAGCAAATTTAAGGAAAGAAATCTGTTGCAAGTTATAGCCAAGGAGCAGACAATTAACTAGCTCTCCTGCTTCCTTTTGAAGGGACTGCAAAGAATCTGCAGTGACAGATAGATGGTCTCAGGTGAGCATGTACTTGTAGACTAAGTAGGATTGAGGAGCTGTTCCCAGAAGGTGTGTATTGCATGCCATTTTGCCCACCTGCACAGCTTGACTCATTTTTGTCTGTTGTGGTATGTAGGTGAAAAAAGAGGGGCAGAGCCTGATGATGCAGAATTGCTGAACCTCAGTAAAAAGCTGGTGGAGAATGCAGTCCTCAAGGCGGTGCAACAATATCTTGAAGAAACACAGAACAAAAATAAACAGAATGATCGTGGAAGCCCCATGAAAACAGAGGAGGAGGCTATTGGCAATAGCCAGGGAAATGAGAATGATAGTAGAAAATGAGGGTCAGGGAGCCATGGCTCTCCCATCAGTATCAAATGTTTCTGCTCCTGGGCCAGGTCTTGCAAACTGCTCTGTCTGATCTGAATTGTAATCGTAATTGTCAGTTCTGTATCAGATGCCTTTTCTGGATTGGTCTGTGCTGGTTCCAGAGCTTAATGATACATATGTCAATGATGCAGTGAATAAAACATGCTACTGAATGCTGGCAGAAAAGGCCACCAATCGCAGACAGAGAGAGGAGGACAAGCAGGCTGGATAGCTGGCTAGTGATGTGTCAGCAGCTTCCTTTTGTGCTGAAGTGCAGAAGAACCTCTCCGTTGTGTGTTCTGTGGGCCCTGTGGATGCAAAACAAATGGCAAAGGAAGATGGGCTAGCCAGAGCTAAAACAGTGCCATTAAATCTTATTTTTCCTGGAATCTGACAACTCTTTACTTGAAAAGAATTTGAGACAACATTTTGTTGCACTGAAGACAAAAAGGGCCAGTGCTCTGATGTGACACTAATTTTAATCACTCTTATTGTTACCTACTGTATTTATGAATGGAAATTGTTCATGAATATTATATCATTATGCTTCATTTCTATGTAACATTAATGCACATAAATTATATTTTTGGCTGAACTATTGCTTTTCTATTTTTTAATAAAATGACAGATGGGCAAAATTATTTGTTTTGGGGAAGATAACATCTCTTTTCATGATTGATTCCCTTAATAATCTAGACAGCAGTTATATTATATGCAAAACTGTATTGTATTGTTGTTTTTTCCTTTAGGAAAGAGCCATGAAGCAGATGTAATAAAAGAAGCTTTACAGAAAGAACTGTTGGCCCTGTTGTCCAAATTGAATAAGATAAAGGCAATTCTAGCAAGTCCAGAGATTCGGAGGACAATACACAAGGAACTGCTTATAAAGGGACTTGTCAGTGGCAGCATCTGGGAAAGTACTTTGGATTCTGCATCTCTAGCCTCTTATTTGTAAATTATTGGAGTGTGAAACTTTGTCTTCATCTATCTAATTAAGCATTTTAAAATCATATTTGTACTGTTTTTACTGGGAGGAAAGGTGGGTCTCTATCAAAATGTTTGAAAGTAATTTAAAAAATAGGTTATATGCTACATCAACACTCCTTCCTGGAACTGTTTGTGGAGAGGGGAACTTACTTGATTCTACTTTTTCTTTTGTCAAGAGAGCACTGTTCTGAACTTTGTGTTCCTTCGCTGTACATTACTGGCTACCAGGTTCTAATAATTTGTTCTAGAATATCTAATTTCTCTGGGAACTCTTATGGTTTTTACATGCATAGTTCCAGCCTGTGCATTTATTACTAACATAACATATCAAAGTTCCCTGCAGTTATAGTACAACGTTTTATGACATCTGGGGTGTGCAGAAAGCAATATGGGTGTGGCAAGAGGAAGAGATAAATCATGTGTGGAATTAATGCATGTCACATATCCTATTCATGAGTTATTCCACTGCATTGATTACACTATTCATGCCGCTATCCTGCCACTAGTATACCTTGCAAATTGCAGGGAAGATTCGTGTTGGTTAAGTGTAAGTACTATGAGATTTGAGGTTATCTCTAAATCAACATGGTGCAGACCTGAAAAATATCTCAGCACAAATTAGCTCTAAGTAACTACTTCAGCATTATACTGATTCCAAGTGACCACTCAAATGTGTTCTTTCAGTGAAATCTGTAAGAATTAAAACAGTGTTTAACAGTGACCAGAAATGCCTTCTTCATATACATGCCCTTAAGTTCTGATCCATGACTCATTGTTCTATAGTATATTGTTTATATAGTTGTAATGTTGTAAAGAAACCAAATGATTTTTCTGAAATTATTTTTAACTGTGCAGCAAAAAAGCTTTTTATATTATTCTGTCTTTTCTCTAGAAGCTATGGCATTTTGTTTTGGCAATCTTTACTTTTTAACAAACTACAATTTAAAATCATATGTATAAATGCCAGTATTTGATGTCTGCTAATGTTTACATGGAAAACAAAATTGTTTAAAAATTTCTCAGTATTTATTGCAGAATCACAGAACACAAGAATCTTTATCTAATCATTTCTAAAGGTGTGCTTGTTTTTTAATCTCTTATTTCTTTTGCTTTTTCATTTATATCAGTCCTATGACTTTCATAAGATCCAGAGCTGCAAAAAAAATTGCATTGAATTTCTTAATTACTTTTGAACATTGCGAATGCTGTGTAAATGTTACATTTATCGACTAAGAACATGGAGGCATATTCTAGCAAAATTATGTAAACCACGTTTGTATGCACAGAGGTCTATTCCTAATTTATTTATGGAAATTTATTTATATTTTATCCTGATGACCATAATCAGCAAGGAAGATTTTCACAATTTATTAAATTTCTGGATTAATACTGTGTGTCTTCAGCCAGTGACCAGTGATTTTTTTGTTCTACCTGCACAACCAAGGAGACAGCAAATCTCTTTTGATTACTTAATGACTCCTTTGACTTCTTTGGTGCTCTTATGACTATGGATTATTGTTGCTGTCTTTTGTAAATTATCATATAATAATATAATTGAAATAGACCTATAAGGCCATTGAGTCCAATCTCCTGTTTGATGTAGGAATCCAAATCAAAGTATATCTGGCAGATGATTGTCTAGTTTTCTCTTGAGTGCCTCCAGTATTGGAATGCTCATCACCTCCTGATGTAATTAGTATCTTTATCACACTGCTCTAACAATTCCTCATTTTTGCCCTTTTTGAAGATAGGGATAGTAGTCCTTTACCATGGTTTCATGTCACTTCAGCAATCCTCCATGATTTCAAAAAAATAACAGACAGTATTTCTGAGAGTTCTTCAACCAGTTCTTTCAATAATTTTGCAATTGATTCATCAGGTCATGGAGATTTGATCTAGTTCAAAGTAATAAGGTATTCCTTGACTATTTGTTTATAGAATCAAGCTTCAGTCTTGTCCCATCCACTTGTACTTCACAGTTGCCTGTCTTTTGGGAAAGACGAAGTGAAAAAGTGAATTGAACTCTTCTGTCCTTTCTTTGCCTCCTGTTATTAGTTCTCCATCCCTACTGGGTAGCTGAGTCACTTTGTCTTTTGCTACACACATACGTGAAGAATGCAGATGAAGGAAGGTAATAACGGATGAGTAAACTGAAGGTTACTGAGAGTTTAACACACTGCAACCACAGCCAGTTAAATATATATATAGAATAGGGAAAGAAGGCAGCTATATTCTTATAAATTGTGGAGAAATACAGTTGTGTAGATCAGTGGTTCTTAACCTTTGTTACTCAGATGTTTTTGAACTGCAACTCCCAGAAACCCCAGCCAGCAGAGCTGATGGTGAAGGCTTCTGGGAGTTGCAGTCCAAAAACACCTGAGTAACAATGGTTAAGAACCACTGGTGTAGATGGCTGCATAGTGAAATCCACCATTTTATGCTGGAGAGAGCCCCCACTTTCACCATGCCATTACTGTGCATTTCTACATAAGCAAAATGTACTGTATTTTGAAGGTAATAGTTGCCTGATTTCAGCATTTGTCTCTTTATCAAATAAATAAATAAACAAATAAGCTGGCAACTTAGTTATTCTTAATTGGCATTATATCAAAATAAGGTGCCAAAACAAAGAGTTAGGTTGCCAAAAAAAAGCAGGCTTCTGTTGTCCTAATGCCATAAGTGACAAGCAAAACCAAAGCTAAACTCACAAATAATGAAGGCTTTGTTTCATGCTATACAGCCTTGAAAACTCAATGCAGACCAGAACAAATATCAGCTTTCTCATGCTAATGTTTTCCCCAAACAATCCGAGTTCTCTATTTACACGTGGTGGATCACAATGGAGCAGTGTCTGCACAGCAGTGTGCTATTCAACAGTTAACATAGATTGCACTCTGTGTGTAACACAAGTGATTACATGAGTTAATTTTTCACAGAAGAAAGCAGGTAGTTTTGCCTCATAGCTGGGGAATGCTAAAAGGACTGACTATGTTCTAGACTAGACCTCAGGCACAAAAGCAGGAATCTTGTTAGATTTTCTTACCCATTTGCTCAACTTCAGTCCCAAGAACACTGAATGCATTCCTCCAGACCCCTGAAAACTATTCTCAGAAAGCAGATCAGGGACCAAGGGGTTAGCACCAGGAGGGAATTGGTTTAAAGCAAACAGATTTAAATCATGAAAAATATTAATATTTGATTTAATATTTGATTTAAACTTGTGGGGATTTGGCATGAAATTTTTTTACCTTGATTGCTATAATTACATAATTTTTAAATGGTTTTCACAATTCTCTTACCCAAATTGTCCCTACCTCCAATAATCCTCTATCCGTGTATATTTCCAGGATCTGAATGAAGAGATAAGGGGTTTGACTTTGCACACGTTGCAGAGGAAGAATAGCTAGGGATTGTCACTCTAAACGAATCAGAAGCTGAAACCTTCTACAGAAGCCTCTTCCATGTTGGGAACTCTGCTGCCTATGGAGAATTTTGTTCTGGATCCAACCTGTTATATTGTAATTGTTGCAGCCCTGCACCAAACTTCCCCCCCCCCCCTAAGGAAGCCTTTCACTGGCCACACTGCTTTTGAGGGGGACATGTAAAGGAGATGGCATTGGGTTGCCAGGAACATCCCTTACTTCAGTGTTGTTCCTCCATAGTTCAACACCACTCCTTGTGGAACATTCTGCTTTGTAAAATTTCATAAATTACATATAATCACTAAACAACATCCTTGAACCAGCCATCTTACTGTAGCCAGAACTGACTGAAGGACTTAAAGCTAAAACTTTAGGAGCATCATAGTGCAGTAGTTAAACTGTTGTACTGCAGCCCAAAATGTGCTCATGACCCAGGGTTCAATCCCAAATAACTAATTCAAGGTTGACTCAGCTTTATGTCCTGAGGTTGGTAAAATGAGTGCCAAGCTCACTGGTGAGGGGCAATGTGTAGCCTGCAGAATTAACTTGTAAACTGCCCAGAGAGTGTTTTAAGCTCTATGGAGCAGTGTATAAGCAACACACTTTGCTTTTTGCTTTAAAGCAACTTATTTGTGGTGTCTGAATAGATCATTTAACATCTACAGCTATTGGGGAAAAAAGGAAACCATATAGGCTTGGTCAGCAGTGTGTAAAGGTGAACAAAAATAATTATTTTCCAAAAAAGTGTATGCCAGTATTTCCATGATGGTCGGTTCTTTGTTGGCTTTTTGTTTGTAACAAAATTTCTAAAAACCAGTGTGCACTATATAAACATGAACAATCCATGCAACGCCACAATCCTTATTTCTTATGTGTTTTTGTTATAAAAAACCATCCAGTCATTGAGTTCTTGTGGGGAGAATAAAGTTTTGAACTTCTAAAAATGCTACAGAATATATGTTATGATGTGTTTTGCTACACTGTTCCTTTGATCAATATATTTTTTAAAAAATTAGCTTGCAGAAATCCCTTCATTTGTAGTCTTCTCATGCTGAATGTCTTTTTAATGAGAACATTTGTACTGAATAAAAGCAAGTCCTGGAAAGGCTAATTTCTACATTCACATCTAAATAATAATAAGAACCCTGAGATGAAAAAGCACAAAGGGTGTAAGTGTGCCTTTAGTGATGAGAGGATATTTTTAAAAAATCAAAACTTTATTTTTGTTGTATTCTTCTCATCTCTTCTTGAAGCCCTGTTCTATCATCTTTTTTTAACTGATAAGGTACTTTAATTTTCACTGGAAATATTCCATGCTTTGACTAATATTCTGAAATGTTTTAAAGACATCCAATAAGCAACTTCATAATTCAGGTCATTAGCACAAATCATTTGTGCCTGTAGAAGATGAAGATGAAACTGCAAAATGAAATTTTATAGGAACATGAATATAAATTCACACGCTTTAATATTTAGTGTTAATATTTAATATTTTCAGAGCATTTGTCATTAGGTTTGAATTAGTATGTGCATTACTTGGTGTATGAGCTGTTTCAAAGACCCAAAATTGATTGATAGATCAGTCATGTCTTTCCCTTTCCAGTTCCAAGTGCAGATGCAATTGCAAGGTGGGTTCTACCTCATTAAAAAAGTCGCAACACACAGAAAACAGTCATATCAGTGAGAAACCTAAGTAATGTTACAACTCTACTTTTCTGTTTCCAGTGCATCTTTTACACTGTATGTGTTATAACATATAGTCTCAGTCTGAAAAGGTAGAAAAGAACAGTGTCACATGTCCTTTCTGGATACTGAATTACCTATTGTGTATGCAGATGGGTGTATTTGTGTGGATAACTAAAGATACACAGACCATTGTTGAAAAATTGAATTTCCTTGTCTTGCAAATTTGCATGTCATTTGTTCAAACCAGTCAGTAAATATTAATAATGCTGTCCCATGAAGTTTAATTTCTATCCTAAGAGAAGCAGACGAGGGAGTGGTTCACATATTTTGTCCAACAGGCCACCTGGGAAAGCTGAAAATGACAACACTGGCTCTTTCTACACTGGCAGATATTCTTTGTGGGCACAGTTAGAGAGGTTTTTTCCACCATCTATCTGGTTTTTCCCCACCATCTATCTCTAAAATGGGAACCCTCACATGGAAAGTGTGTGTTCCCTACAAAAGTGTGAGTTCCCGCAAAAGTGGTGCCCCCCCCCTTTGCTATTCCTTACTAGTCTAGATATCAGCTTCAGGCAATCAGAGCTTGGTTCAAATCCAAAGTTTCTGACACATGCATCATCTGTTAGTAGTTGTTTACTTTCTCTTTATTCCCAGAGCATTGTTGTAGATTCAGTAGAGAAGTAAAGCTGAAAAATAAATATAAATATGAATGTCCTCTCTGGTGGCTTCCGGTTCTCAACTAGCCAGGATAATCTTCATGAAAGCATATTTCCAGTAAACACTTGTGTGGGATGGTACCTGTATCCAGCAACTGGGTGGTTGTCATGGAGAAGGAAATGTGTGTTTTGTTAACAGAGCAGAAGTAAAACCTTCATTACACAGCGCTCTTTCCTGCTGCACTGGATGAGAGAGAATCAATTATGCACCAGGTTTAACTATAAATAAAGCTGGACTGATTCATGGTTCTAACAACTGGTAAATAATAAGGGTCAAACAATCTTATTCACATTGTTCAGCCATATAAGCTCTTGTTTTCTAATAAAGCTAAGCCAGAGCTTTGGAAAGGTGTGGTTTGGGACAATGAACATGCTGGCTGAAGGATTCTGGAAGTCAAAGTCTATATATGTAGGTTTCCCTGTGCTCTGAGCTAAGCATGACTACACTTGCCACAATCTCTTAATGTTGGATGTGCTGGCTGGAACCTGTGGGAGCTAAAGTCCTAAATTGCTGTAAGGCAAAAGGTTTACCCATCTCTTCTCTAACGTGATGGAAAGCACTGTTTATTCTGGGTGGCATAGAGGGGTCATTCCATCCCCTGATTGAATCTGGGGCCTACTGCATATCAAGTGTGTACTTCTGCACTAAGCTATGTTATGTCTGCTTTCACACACTCCCCCCCCACAGTCTGGTTTAATTGGCAAACCCAGAACAATGATTCATGCAGAGATGAGACGGGCACCACTGAACAATGTGCAATTCCATTGCAGCAG